AAAATATGTATTACATAACTTACTCCTTTTATAGATTATCTAATATATGTTTAAAAATCAGTTTAAAATTTACATCTGCTGCTTTTGCATGAGAGCTGCATATGTTCACTGAGACAATCATAATCATTTTCATGCTTGCTGTTAAATCACTCCTAGATGGGTTTGTGAGAAATTTATGAACTCCTTTTTGCTTTATAAATACCACAAAATTTTTCCAACAAAATCACATTGATATATGCCTGCTGTCCTAGTATATTAAACAAAATACTTGAAAAAAAATTTGTCATACCATCCTAATCTTTTTGTTGTATCTGTTCTTCCAATCAGATCGCAATATATATAGATTTTACTTTGCTTATTGTTGTTTTCTGAATTTGTAACTTTTTTCCAGATTCCAGTTGTATTGTGTTTCAGAGGCTATTTGCATAACTGGTCGACAAAGAAAGCATTTCAAGTCCCACCCCAAAGTACCAAAGAAGTATCCCAGCTTGTTTGGTACTTTTGGTACTAGAACTTTTGGTAGCGGTACTTGACCGGAAGTCATTGGAAAAGGCAAAGTACCGAAAATACTGTACCAAAAGTACGGTACTTGGTGTGGTGGAAAAGCGCCCTATGTGTCTGTCAGGTCTGGAGGATCACTGAAATGGGCACTCAGGTTAAATTCATCTGGAATCTAATGCCCAAGCTGGCCTAGTGACGGCTGTGAGTGAATGACTTTGGTCAACGCCGTTACCAGTGGCTACTAGTGAATGCCGTTAGTGGATTCTGTTAGTGCCAGCTGTTAGCAAATGACATGAGTGACCGCCATTAGCCAATGCTGTTAGCAGATTCTGTTAACGACGGCCGTTACCGAATGCAGTTAGAGGACTCAGCAAGCGATGCCCGTCAGTGAATGCCGTTTGTGGATTCTGTTAGCACTGCCCGTTAGGGAATGCTGTTAGTGCCTCCCATTAGACAATGCCGTTAGCAGATTCTGTTAGCAACAGGCGTTACCGAATGCAGTTAGAGGACTCAGCAAGCGATGCCCGTCAGTGAATGCCGTTTGTGGATTCTGTTAGCACTGCCCGTTAGGGAATGCTGTTAGTGCCCCCCATTAGTGAATGCCATTAGTGTCACCCGTTAGCACTGGCTATACCACAGGCCGCTGGGAGGAAAACACAAGTCATGTGCTGCTGCCTTGTCATGGTGACCAGAGTTGTAGATGTGGGCTTCTGCACAGAAGGCAAGACTCTATGGATGCCCGTAGTGCGGAGGTGGAGCAGAAGGGGTAACAGTCAGAGTGTTGTTCCAGTATTTTGGAGAAACTAAATTTGGTGCTCTAAGTTTCTGTAAATAGTTACTGAGCAGGGGGACTGATTTGACTGCAGCACCAGACAGGATGTTACTCCTCAACCTCCAAGACAAAGCCGCCGTATTCTCACTCTAATATTATTATTTGTGTTTTTTTTTTGGTGTGGGGTGACATGGACCATGGCCACCAGTCACTCCTATCTATGGACAAACAAACAACCAGAGACCCCCTTGGTGGTGGGGGTGGGGTGGGGGGTGTCAAGGGGTGCAGGCTTAGATCATACTTACATTTGAACATACATCTTTGTTTGTACCACACAACTTTCTCCCACAAATATGGTCCTTTGGTTTGTGTTTACAATATCTTGATACGCCAAGGAGAATGGTGCTTTCTTTAAAATTTTCTGAAGAAAAATAAACCAGTCTTCCTGTACTTGTTCCTGAGCAGACTGACGAAATGACTGAAACGGAGCTTCTGTGGAGGTGGAGGAACCTGCCTAGCCAGATCTTGACAAGTGCATATTTTCTGGAAAGTCCCCTCCCAAATGTTCTCTTGAAATTCGGCCGCTAACAGGAGCACCGGAAATCCCTGGTGCATGAAGTGACTGACTGCCGGCACTGAGCTGTAGTGGTTTTTAGCTGCGGTTCTGTCTTACAGATGCTCTGCCAGTTTCTCTTGTAGTGTAAGAAGTTCCTTTTTGTGTTCTTTGGTTAAGAGTGCACTTTTTGCCACTCTCTAGAGTTCATTAGAAGCTGTGGATGGTGTTTTGTCTGCCACACCCCCAACCCCCCACAGCTATTTTTGCCCTCCGTGCCCTGTCACCCCACCCCTTGAGCCAGGGGGGCGCCTGACCTCCACACTGCACACCCGCTGTTTTCTGGGTCAGGCAATGCCTGGGACAGCCTGCTGCAGAGCCTCAAACAAGCAGACAAATTTCCATGAGATGTGAAAAAGCCAGCAATGAGATTTAAAATAGCAAAAATTGCTATTTCTGCAAGAGAACCTCTGAATACAAGTGGCCTTAATACAAAGAGCAAATTTGCTTGGGGTCTGGTGTCTGTAGCTAACAAAGGTTTGGAACTATGATTTTATGCATATCCATTTTCTTTTAGACAACATTTAAAACCAGGCTCCAGGCTCACTGCATCCCTATACTGGGTAAGTGATGGATGGATGGATGGATGGACGGCATGCATGGACAACATATAAAGACTTTTTGGAGGGAGTGCCCAATTTTAACACTAAAATCCAGACACAACAGCTGTGGAAACATTGACACGTCCAAACAAACCCTGTGGTTTTTGGCACATTTTATTTCTTACACACATGCAGAGATATACACAGACACATGCAAACATGCCACATGCACATGCAAACAATTTAGAATAACCCTCAATTTGTAAACCTGTAGAAGTGGGAGAGTGCCGATGATGGTATCACCTTCGTCATGTCTGCCATCATTCAGCGGGTCCGTTTCACTTCAGCTGACTCCAGCAGTAACTGTGTTAATAGTGGGACTCACATTTCCTGGAACTGTTCTATCTTGGTTTTGACAGGCAGATTTTCGATGAATGCTCTGTTAGGTCAGGCTGGATAGTTCTTATCAGAAGGACGGCAGCTATGAGACTGCAAAGCAGTTCAGCATCTAGTGCGTTTGTAGTGGCCTATCAGTGATGGAGGATGCTGCATGTCACGTTGGGCAACTGGACTGTAGGCTTCTATTAAAGATACTGTTTTATTTTAGGGCTGGTGTCAGTAGATACTGTAGGCCAAGGTTTTCTGTAAATAAAAAACAGCTGTATTGTACTCTTTTGTGCAGTGATGCTCAAAGGTACTTGAAAGGTCACTGGCTGTGTTGTTAGGCCAGGGCCTTGGTCCCTGCTGTCCTCTGATGTGAGGGGATCACTCTGTGATTTACACATCAATTAGAGGAACTCCCGTGTAATGCAATTTGGCGATCGATGGAGCTGGGTAGCTTAAGTTCTCGTAATGGTCGGTTTGGCTACGTTCTCGTGTAATTATAGCTTGATGGTTTTTGGATCCGGGAAACGGCCGTGTTTGTGTTTCCAAGGCCTAACAGATCCCGGGCTGTTCCCTCCAAGGTGTGACACAAGAAGCCATCATTTGTGACAGCATATGAACAGGCTGTCTGCATGAATACTGGACCAATAACTGAGACCACCATGTCAAATGAGCTTTATTTTGAACATATTGCAGCACCAAATAATCTAGTGAGTTAAGTTTTCCACAGTGGATAAAGAGACTGGAGAGCAAATTGTATGAAAAGGTTTGATGAATTTCACATTTCACTTAGGGTTTCAGTAAAGCTCCTGGAGTTCTTTGAATTATTTACCCTTCCGTGTTTGAAAATGTAGAGACTGAAACAGCTTATGGATTACAGTAACACTGGGACATTTATTATCTTTTCATGGTTTGTATGACTGTTTTTTTTCTGGGGAACTCAATGTGGTAGTTTTGTAGGCCCACCTGGCAGATTAATTTGAGGAGATCAATAAAAATGTTTGTGAGCTTTGGAAATGACTTGAATAGCTGTGATTTTACCAGGTCTGCAAGGCTGATCTGGTTTTGTCCTTGGACATAGTGGATAGGCGATACATTTCATACATCTATCAAACAGATGGGTTTGGCTTCATCACTCTGGCAGAATCTGATATGGTGATATGGTGAGGACCTCTCAGACCCCACCGCTGTTCCCGTCAAGTCTCCAGTCTCTCACCATATGACTGTGGCGGTGGGGACCTACACACACACATACACACACACACACACACACACGTTTCTATCTATGGGCAAAACCCTAATCACAACAGCCTTAACCGCTACCCAGCCCTAACCTTAACCATCAGTAACCAAAGAAATACAAGTCTTTTGGCATTTTTAGTTTTTTTTGACGTCAGTCACAGATTTTTTATGGGGACTGGGGAAAAAAGATCCCCGCAATGTCAAAATAACAGGTTTTTATCACTTTGTGGGGACATTTGGTCCACACAGCAATACCTACAGTATATGAGTAACACATACACAGTATTTGTTTTAGCTCGGGCTAGTGACCTTTGACCCTCTGTGGAGGAGGGGTTATTCCTTTAATGGCTGCCTCTTTTGCATTGTATATGGTGATGGCCAAAGAGAATAACCTGGATTATTCTCCAGTAACCTAAGAGTACAAAGGAAAACGAGTCCTTTGGAGGGGTGCCCTTGTCTGGGTGGGGGGGGGGCTCACTGGCATATCCCTCCCACAACATCTGTCTCAGTGGCTCCTGGAGTTGCTGTGGGACAGTCCCTCTAAGGTGGGGGGCAGAGATGGCAGCCCTGGAACTAAACAAGCTGTGGACACACAGGCCGTACTCTCCATGGTTAGGGGACATGTGATTGGTGTCTATAATCACCCTCTGGTGTCCAGTAAATGCTGGAAGAAGCTTATTGAGATATTACTACCACAGGTCGCTGTTTTCTGGAGGGGGGGGCTCCTCTGCATTTCTTTCCACTTCCGCTCATATTTACTAGTCACCTAGTGCAGAGCTGGGCATGATAGGGTTACGCAGCTGTCACAATCAAACTGTGTGTATATTCAGGAAGCAGGAGCTGGCCATTGTTTGGTACAGTTACCCTCGTGGTTGAGGAATTGTCTGATCTCGGAGTAGACGCTTCCCTGCGTCTCTGCCATTGAAAAGGTCCTCTGTTTTCACAGAAGAACAAGAAACAAAAGAGAGACGGATGCACGAAATCCCCGGGCAAGAACGGCCGGTGTCCGGGGCCGGGGAGCGTGGCGTCCCAGCTGACTGTGCTGATCCTGCACCCCCCCACAAAGAGCACATTGAGGTAGGCACAAGGCCGCTCCACCTCCAAGATGGGGGTGGGGGGGTGCGAGGAAGGGATGATAGTGAGTAAGGAGGAGGAGGAACCGATGTATTACTGCTTGAAGAAGTAAAGAAGAGACTGAGGATTATGCCTGTGTATAAATGGGGTAGGGGGGGTGTCTCAGAGCGAGACAGAATGATAGAGTGGGGAAGGAAGGAAAGAGTGAGCAATCTTAAAACCTCCACGTGTGTGGACCGCCCCTGAGAGTACACATCTGCCCAGGAGTGTAAACCCACTGCCCCCCCCCCCCCCCCCGCCCACCCCCGTTTCAGTGTGCAAATTCCAACTCACCTCATTATTGCCACTCACCTCCAGCCCAGCCTGTGAGTCCCCTCTGTCCTGTGAGTGCTGCCGTTGAACGTTATCTGAACGACCAATCAGCAAAACCACTCGCCCCCCACCCCCCCATGCCAGCGAGTACATGGGTGCTTTGAAAGATGATCAGTGCTCTATTCATTCACCTATACTCTTCAATATATGTATATTTGAGCCTGGTGATAATTCATAATTTAAATTTAATTAGAAAGCCAAGCAGCATCATATTAATAGCTAGTAGCTGGGTTGATGAAACACATGCAGATAACTATTGGATTCTGTGTAATCTATTACATCCTGCCGAATGTCTCCTGAGTTTGCTTATTCATATACAAGTTAAATACTACTTTGCAGACTCTAAGAATTAAAAACTGCAGATAAAAAGGTTATATTCTGTACATTTAAATATCACACGCTTCAGTATCCATTCCAGGATGTTGATGACTATTCTTGAATATGGTGGTCAGTGTTGTGAATAATGGCCCTCCTAACAAATCCAGGATGAAAACAGCTTTTGGCTTTGCTGGTTTGGCTGCCATGTATAGCCTGCTTGTGTATATATACCCATATTTGGGCTTTGTAGCAGCAGTGGTTGAGGTATATCTGGTGAATAGATGGCAGTTTGATCGCTTTGATCTTCTCTACTCTCTGTGTGGCCTTCCTGTGCTCACCTGTGGCTGCAGTATACTGTAATACCTTGGGTGAGGCCACTGTCAGTGGTGCTGGAAATGGGGGTAAGTCTGCCTTTGCTCATCATGCACTTCAATAGCTATTTCAAAAAGGGAAGCTGCTGGCGGCATTTGGTGAGATTGATTCAGTGTTTTCTGTCCACCTCAGCTTCTCTGACATCTGAAGGCTGAGGAACATGAACTTCCTTACCGTTCCCTCAGGGAAGCCGTGAATGGCGATTGGTGTGTGATCTCCACAATAATCCCCTTTGTTTTATTGATGCTCAGAATGCAGTTATTATTGTGTCACCGTCCACCAGCTCTGCCACCTGTATGTGAATCCATCATTATATGCAAAGAGACCAGTTGCCGTGGAGTCATCAGCATACTTGATGATGCAGCTGCTTATGGATTTGCTCATACAGTCAAAGCTGAAGAGGGAGTGCAGCTTTGTGCCTCGGTAGAGCCAGAGGGGACAAAGTTCTATTCCAATAGTTAATTTAGCTGTTTTTCTTCTTCTTTTTAGGATGTGTGCATGTTGTTTTTTTCCAGGTAGTCAAAACATGAAAGAATGAAATAGCCCTGTTGTGTTGTGGCTGGATGTGAAAAGCACATGTAGCAGTCAGCCTTCATTTCCCGTGAAGAGCACGATTGTGTCCTTTGAGAGTTTGCTGTGAGTCAGGCTATTGGTTGACTCCTCATTGCACTAACCAAAATAATTCTAAAATGACTTTATCACTAGTGTCGTTTGGTCAGCTTTCAATATCCAATCCAGTCTTTCTTGCCTTTTTGCTTGAAATAACAAATCCAGGGAAAATATTTGGTTGGCCGTGTCAAGTCTCATCTATAGACTGTTCGCTCAATCTATGTGTACATCCAGTCACAGCTCTTCCCCTAGGTTTAATTTTCAGAAACACTTTGGCACATTAACATTTTCGGAAGCAATCAGATCTTTGGATTTAAGTGAGAAGGTTAGTAGTTCTAGTGGTATATAGTTGTCATACTGATTTAAACTTCTCTCAGACTGAATTTGGCAGACTTATGAGCAAGGTAGCTGCTTTAAGTGCACCCAGGGGCTAAACGTTTTCATGCTTGCGTGTGGATGTGCCTTTGGTACGGTCCTCTTCCCTGCCGCCCTGTGGTGGTCCTGGCTTCTGGCAGGGCAGCCTTTAAGGGCAGGGCTGCGCCCTCACTAAAGTCCTCTGCCTTATAGGGGCCTGAAAATGCCGTGGAGAGCCAGTCAGGTGTCTTGTAATGATGCACTGATGTTGGGAAACTCCAAACCTAAATTTCTCATTTCTCATAAATCTCATTTCTTTTGAATTTATGATAAAGTTATTGGAAGACTTCCCGTCTTGCCATAGATCTGCCCCTTGGTGCCGGAAGGTGAGGAGGAAGTTGGACACAGACACACTGGGATTCTCCTCTCTGCTACTTTACCTTGGGCCTCTGGCTTAATTGAGTGACTGGAGGAGTGCTGTGTTCACTCCGTTCTCTCTTTTCTTTCTGTTTGCTTGGTTTTCTCCTTTCATTCTGTTTGCTCTTTTGCTCTGATCGTTCTGTTCACCTTGTTTGCGTTGTTTCCTCCATTCTCTCCATTCTCTCCGTTGTCTCTGTTCACTCCATTAGCACCATTTGCCCGTTCTCCGTGTGCACCGTTAGTTCATTTGTTTGATTTGCTCATGCCGTTCACTCTGTTCTCTCTTTGAGGATCCTTTAGTAAATGGTGTGTTTGAGCTTAACTACTTAATCAGTGACTGGTAGCCGCTCTACCATTTAATGTATTTGAGCATAATCAGTGGCTGGTAACTGCTGTAATGTTTAGGTGGAAAATAGCAGGAGAACATTTTAAACTGGATTTCAGAAAGCACTTCTGTGCACAGCGTGTAGTTAGAATATGGAATAGTCTTCCTGTTAGTGTATTGCAAGCTAAAACATTGGGTTCCTTTAAATCAGAGCTAGATAAGATTTTAACAGCTCTGAGCTATTAGTTGAGTTCTCCACAAACGAGCTTGATGGGCCGAATGGCCTCCTCTCGTTTGTAAATTTCTTACGTTCTTAATGTATTGTATAATCAGTGACTGGTAGCTGCTCTACTGTTTAATGTATTTGAGCATAATCAGTGACTGGTATCTGCGCTAGCTTTTAACGTATTTCAGCACTGGTAGCTACTCTAATGTTTAACGTATTTGACCACAATTACTGACTGGTAGCTGCTCTGACTTTTAACGTATTTCAGCATAATCAGTGACTGGTAGCTGCTCTGTCGTTCAGCGTAACATTTAATGCATCTGACGACAATCAGTTACTGGTACTTGCTTGTTAGTGACGATCTTAATGTTTTCAGAGCGCGTGGGAGTGCCTGTGATACCGGCACAGTGAACTTGCCAGGAAAGACCCTGCTTGGCGTGTCAGATGTAATTAACTGGAGGGGAGAAGGCAGGCAGTCATGTGAGGATCTCTCCACCTGCACGGTCTGTCAGGTGAGGGGAGTCTGAGTAGGGCTGCTCCACACCCCTCTGGATACCATGCAGACAGAGGGGACAACAGCTACCTGGAAACCATCCCCCACATCTACAGAGATGGGTAATATCCAAAAAGCCCAAACAGGGGCACAAAACACATGATTTTTGTTGCTCTTCTTTACCATACAAACACATAGTTACTATGGAGTGTGTTGATATTATGTAGTAGGATGACTGTAGTATGTAGTAGGATGACTAGTACTGTTTACCCTGAAAACAGATAGGGTCCATGCACTGGCAGCATTAGCTGCAGTGATGTGGTGGCCATTTTTAGATTTGAATACAGTGTGAAATGAAATTATTGATTAAAAATGTGTATAAACTCATTTCTCCTCAGTATGACCTAAAGTTTGTTTTTTTTAGATTTTTTATCTACACTGTGTGAAAAGTAAGGGAATGTGGTACAGACATTCATCCTGGAATGACTGATACCATGTTAATCGGGATTAACAGGTGTCCTGGTGTTTTTCTTAAAATCTCTTTAACACTGCAAACTGCTGCAGTGAAAGCAAAGGAGCATTTATCAAGACCTGCCGCATCAATGACACATTATGAGATTAAACGTCTGTATAGGGGCACAGATGCTGTTTGGCACCATTGCTTCTTTTCTGTAGAACCAGACAAATTGTGTGGGCTTGCCCAAACAGGAAAGGGTCCCCCTGTTTTATAATGAACACAGAGAAACCTGGAATGAAGCTGCATGAGCTGAAACGTCTTCAGAGGGGTTTCTTGAGGATCTGGAAGGGGAGTTAATGGTTAGACTTTGGGACTGTCGGGTGGCAGAGATTGCAGGCTCCAGTACTTTCTAAAAGTGTCAGTCTCTGTTCTGCTGATTCGAATCAGCGATGTTTCTGCTGATATGTGGGCAAAGTAAAGGAATGAGTCACATTTGGTGACTGCAAGCCCCTTCCTGTACCTCGCCTTACGTGGTTTCATCAGTTTGACGAGGACTTGACGGGGAATGTGCTTCCTGCACTGCCTCATAATGGAGGGAGGTGTTGTACATGTTTGAGGTGGCACCTAGAATCATTTGTGGTTGCCCTGGCCTCCAGTGCTTATCTTGGAGTCCTTTGCGTGTTAGTGGTGGTTAAATTTTGATTGATTCACTGTGATCATCTGATATATCAGATTCTGTGGTTCTGGCACCACAGTGTTCAGCATCCCTGATGTTGCCATACCTTCCGCTCAGGCCTCATCCTGCTATTTCCTTTACAGTCATGGCGCTAGCTTGCCCCGGCATGTTCTCAGACATGACCTCTGACCTCGTTGTGAGTGAGAAGGTGTTTTCCATGTTCTCACGCCAGTGCTATGCAAGCCTCTCCTCAGGGCTCCCAGCACTTGAAACGCAGCCAGGGAATCCCTGCTCCGGCTCGGCCCGGCAGCAGGAAGTGGGCCGTGCCCGGCGAGGAACAATGACAAAAATGCAGCCACAAACACACGCACACACAGTATCCACGCCTTATCTCAAGCTGGTCACCCGTGACTCCAGAGTAACTTCCCGTGATGTCACTGCCCAAATATGGAGCTTCTCATGTGACTAATTTTTACAAATGTCTCCCACCCCCACCCCCTTGTCTCACTGCGAAAGAGAGTCACACACACTCTCTCTCTCACACACACACACACTCTCTCTCTCACACACACACACACACACACACAAACACCAAGAGCAGCTGAGACACCAGCATTCCGGTTCATTCTGCTGCTTTCACCTTCAGACGCAGTGTTTGCAGTCAGTTGTTCTGCTGCTTTTCAGACGCGGCTTTTGCAGTCGGTTGCTCCGCTGCTCTCAGTTGGCTCTTGTTGCCGGTGCAGGTAGGCACCGAGTACTGGGTGGTGGGGGTGGGGGGTGTCGCTCGCTGTTACCTCTCTGCCTCTCCAGCTGCCCCCGCTGAAGGATACGGACTGAGTCTCTCTCACTTCCCCTTGTTTCACAATCTCCGTTCTTTCACGCTCATTCACTCTCGCTGCCTTTTTCTCTCCCTCCCTCCCTCCCTTTCTCTCTCTCCTGCCCTCCCTCTCTCCCTCCCTCCCTCTCTCTCAGTCACACACAAACCCACATACCCGCACTCTCTCCCTCTCTTTTCCACAGATTCCCAGGCTGATTTCCGACCCCGAAGGGACTACCTGCTGCCAGGTGCGGGACGCGTTCCCCTAGCCCTTCCCTTCTCTCCACCAGGATGCCCTGGCTGGTGAGTGTGTGTTTCTCTGTGTGTGTGTGTGTGTGTGTGTGTGTGTGTGTGTGTGTGGTGGGGGGGGTAAGGATGCTGTTTCTCCGACTCCCTTTGTGCTACGGCTGCCGCCGCCGCTCGTGAATGTACCGCCTGAGCCCTGCAGAGGGGGCCGATGCTGTCACTCTCACTCCTTCCCACCCTCTCTCTCTCTCTCTCTCTCCCTTTTAATGAATGAATCGCCTGTACGCGGGTTCTCTCTTTACTCACTTGCCTGGCCGCTCCGCACCGCGCCCGCCGACAGCCTTTCCCCCCAAAGACACGGCAACTGCCGCGCCTCTCAGCACCGGTGTGTGCATGTGCGAGAGCGCTAGCGCGCATGTATGTGTGTGTGTGTGTATGCGTGTGTGTGTGTATGTGTGTGTGTGTTTCGGCGGAGTGGGAGGACCCTTTTTTAAACACACATGCATGCATCTCGCCGGCTCACTTGGCAGCGAGCTTTGGGAGACTGAGGTGCAGAGCGGGAGTATGAACACGGGGACGCCTCCTTACGGCCGGAACCCCAGGTAGGCGGGGGGGGGGCAGCAGTCTTAAATTTCTTTGTACAGGTGATTCCTGATATGTGATCGTCCAAATGTCAGAGATTTACTGAGTCTTCCTGCCTTTTTGAGAAGCTACAAGGGAGTATGTGGGGAAAAAGGCATTGTGTGACCGCTGTAGTATTACAGATCTGTTCAGTCTTTCTGCCTTTATAGAACGTATATCACGATTTTATACACACACACACACGCACACAAGCAGGATTTCTATTTTTTTCAATTTTGTATGGTAGTTTTATATAATATATATATTTTTTTTTATTTCTTCAATTTAAATTTAAATGGTAATTTTGTGTTTTGTTTATGTTGTTTCATTGTATTTCATTGTATTTGTAATAGGATGAATATTGACAGCATATAATTATTAAATAGTGTTATGCAGTTTTTTAGAAACCCTACAGAAATGAAGTTCCTTCGTCCAAAAGACATGCTGAATCAATGGCTTTCTGTGTGCACATTACGCGGGCGATGACCTCATAGCTCAGGATGACCCGATCCCCCTGGGCTACCCCGCTTGTGGATGCGATACCCAGGCACCCAGAGTCGTCAAGACAGGGTTCGAGAGTCATGTGACTGCTGACTGGCCGACTTGATGCTACCTTGACTTATGATTGAGTCACTTATCTAGACCAATTGAAAAACTTTTAGATGAAGCTGGCTTAGGTGTCTTGTTATTTTTCAAAAGTTAACAGTGAAAGAACTAGACAAAGTGTAATTATGAATTTAAGGGGATTTGTAGAAGACTAATAATATCAGAGGATACCTGTGCTGCCTCTGTCCCTAACGCTGTATGCTTGTGCTCACATTTGTTTGAGTGGAGTGTATGTTTGCGAAGCTTAGATTTTCATACTAAATCTACGTCTATAGTAATGTTTTCTCTGCAATCCACAGCATACATGTTGCCTGAAAAGGTTTGACACTGAAACGTATTTTTTGCGCTCCCAGTGTTTAAACTGCATAATTAGGAGTTAAACAGCTGTATTTGCATCTCGCATGAATGATTGGATTTTGTACCTCGTTCGTGGCCACAGCCGTTTTGGGTTTTCAGCAAGCTTTTGCCGTGATATGCTTTTAGAAGCCGTGAGTGATCACATGCCGCGTTTACCCTCGCCTGCTGCTTGTTACATTCATTATGCTTTAGCATCACTTGGCACAGTGCATTTGTGGCTCCTGCAGCTCTGGCGGAGTGTAAGCTACACCTTCCCAGAAGCCATACAATGCTTCGCTGAGCTGGCAGGGTCCTTCCTCAGCACCGGAGATGTAGGTCTTGGTTGTTCGTTCCGTTTCTACGGAATGGAGCACTGTTCGGACTGACAGACGGCCCTGGAGTGTGTAGCTCGCAGCTCCACAGGGCAGAGGGCTGTTTCTGTTCCTCACATGGATGTGAATTTTCATCTGCTATGCATGATTGGGTCTTGGCTTTCTCTGGCTGCTCCTAGCACCATGTTTTGTTTTCTTTATTCCTATCCCTCCTTATGTTTGTATTCCACTCCTGGTAGCCATTTTCACTGTTTTTAAAACTTAACACAGCAACTAGCCTTTGGGGCCAGGGCTGTATTGTTTACCCGTTTGCTTCTGAAAGCCATGCAAGTGCTGCAAAGGGGTTTGAAGGAGCAAGTTGAAAACTCCAACAGGTGGTAGCATTTGTTTGAAAATCGAGAGACATGGCATCTTATGGGCCACTGTCTTCCATCCACTGATCTAGATGACACATTAGGACATGTGTCCTGAGCTGGAAGCACAATGCTGGATAAAGCCAGAGTTCTCACATCACCTGTCTAACAGAGGAAAAATCAGTATGTATGTGATATTAATGAAGAATACAGTATAAGGCTGGAAGCTTGCAAAGAATGTCAGGCTTGGCTGAGTGCATTGCACTAGAGCCAGGGGCAGTGAACACCAGACTCACAGGGGTATAAAACCCAGCACCACCTTTGGACATTCTGTTTTCATGGCCTCCACTCACCAGCGTATCTGCAGCTGCCGCCTTTGCCAGCCCATGACCTTGTCAGCGGCTTCTTAACGATTCTCCTCGTCTGCGGACCCCATACTAGAAAGCATCCAGGTAATGTGAACCGTTTCGTTTTCTTCGCGGCAGCTCAGGTGTTTGCCTTGTTCTTTATGACTCTGAGTTGTTATTGGAAAGTTCTGTGTTTTTTTGGAAAACAGATCATGACTCTGAGGGTTACAGGAGTTTCCAGATCCAGAAGTTCAGCTTGATTTGGTTTATGCCATAATAGAGGTACCTTATTTTTAAGAGAAACATCAGAATTTCCACCGTGTGGCTTTGGGTGGAATTGATTCCTTTATGACTAGGTGATTCATTTAGAGGCTAAGACAAATTGCTTGCAGGCCATCTTGGAACACTTGTTAACCTGTGTCCCCCTATTTTTTCCCTCATCATGGCATCTTTGGACAACTTACAGTCACCTGGAGGTTGGGGTAGCAGATGTTCTGGAAATGCGAGAGCAAGCTTGTCGTTTGCACTCAATCAGTCTTAGAGAAACAAATAGGCTTTTGTGTTTGTTTTGGTTATCGGGTCTCACTAGGACAGCCTCCTCTATTGCGTTACATTTATCTGTACAGCAAACATCCGCTATGAAGGAAAGCCTGTCAGTAAAGTTTTTGCAGCACTGTGGTTAAGTGACTTATACGTGGAACACGGCTGAGAACAAACGTTCAGTGGTGTTTCTGTCTTTCGTGGTCCTGTGTGACCTCTTACACTTTATACTTGCTGCTCTCCATGAGGGCCAAGTGGCTTAGCGTGGTCATGTGACAGGGCACAGGGGCTGAGTGGTGGGTTACGTAAACTCAGAAAGCTATGCTTGTTGATTCTTTCCACCAACAATTGGAAGATAGATGGATGGGTATGCAGAAGCACCGTCAATACAGCAGGAGTAGGGTGTTGTGTGATGCGTGAGCTTGGCAATGAGAGAGGCACTTTCAAAGCGGCCAGCTGACCCCCACAAACATGTGAGATGGAGAGGTCTGCTTGGTAGCGTGTGTGGTATGAGGGAGGCTTCGTATGCTGGAAGAGGCCATCTCTGTGGTCCCTGTCATTGGTGTTCAAAAAGTGGGGGTGTGCGGTGCTGGGGGAGCAGGCCGCGGCGGGCAGGCCGTCCCTCCACTTCCTCTCGCCAGCGTGTGTCTGTACTCAGGGAGGATGCTGGGGGATAAATTTAGACCTGCAGCTCTCCTTCCATCTGCTGCCACTCGGTTTAGGCCCGTTTCCATAGGAACCGGTGCTGGGCTCCCTTAAATGGGAGAGAAGGAAAATGAAAGGCGTTTTGGAGGTTGCAGGGGTTTTGTTCTCCTCCAAGCACATACTAATTCTCCGTACGCCTCCTTATCTCCCTCTCAGATCCGTGCCGGACCGTTGTGGTCGCTGTTTTGAATTGGACCCGCTCTCGTGGCACCGGGGTTCTATGCCTTCGGAAATTGGCAGCGTAAATCCGCGAACTCCCCGCCGAAAGCTCGCGTCGTGACCATTGTTTAAACTGTCTGAATGGAGGCGACGGGAGACTATATTTAGCAAGACTGTGGAGTGGTGATTAGGCTGCCGGCTGGTGGTGCTTGGTTGCTACCAGAAAACGGGTCACCACTATGAGAAATATTCTGCACCTGAATTAAGTGCAGGCTTCAGAATGTATGCAGGCCATTCAGGGGTGCCCCGGAATCCTACAGACTGGGCTCGCAGACTGGTGCCTCACAGGATGCTGTGTTTATGGTGTTCTCCTGTCAGAACATGGGACAAATGACCAGGGGGTCTGTTGGTGCTGCAGAGGACCTTCTGGGGAGACATGGAGCTATGGATGTCTGTGGTCATATCATGGTGTTAGATGCAGTATTTTGTATTTGTTCGCTAGGGTTAACTAATCCGTATAAAGGTTAAAAGTATAACTCAGTGGTAACTACGTTTTACCTCTATCTGCTGGTGCTTTGACCACCATTGCTCATTCGATGATAATAGTCACAGCAGAGGGGACAGCATCCACGACAGCATTACAGTGGCGTCCCCGAAATAGCCTATCCCTGCTGCCCAGGCTCCTCCGGCCCTGGTATCAAAAGCTGAGCCAGTTCTGCCAGAAACTTCTAGAAATGAAATCCAGGTCCCGGTCTGTGAACAGATATTTATATCCGTCTGCGAGGTGCAATTAGCATGTGCAGAGCAAGGTGACATTTCTGTTGTCAGATCTGCTAACGTCGCCTCCGCCAGCCATGTGAAATGTGCAGGGGGATCTGCCAGACGGCTGCGCCCGCTCAGGTCGCCTCCGCGGAGCTGGCGTGAGGCTCCTGGGGAGCGGGCGTGGTGTGCCAAGGGAAGAGGATAGGAAGCGGTTATTACCTGCCACAGTGTACTGCTGGATGGTGAAGTCCATACGGCGGCGTTCAGAGCCTATGAGGCTGCCAGGTAGTGAGGGA